GGATTTCCGGGGTCGTTACAATTTGAGAATTGATAAACATCGGTAAGGAACCAATGCCCAGAAAACTTAAAGGATTTCTCTGTAAGGTGTCCACATAAAGTGAGTTAAGATCTAAGATCAAGTTGATAGACATAGTCGATGGATAACATATGAATATTCATACGCACACTGTTCTTTGTTAGTCTTGATGAACGGAAGAGGGTTACGTTAGTTGAAAGATGATTATGGATTCAAGAACGTAAGGTGTTTCTGAATTTTAGTCTTATTACTTATTTTATCTCAAAAAATATATTAATTATCAATAAAATAATTCGTTTAAAAAAATTATAATAAAAGGAATCCTAAAAATGGTAATAATTAATTACATCTATAAATGGGTTTTAGCAAATTAGTACAAAAATGAAAATTCTAAATTAGGGGGTAAATTTTTTTTCTTTTTTGTAATCAAATTCAAAAAGTGTTACAATTATCAAAATATTTTTCATACCCTTTATAATATATAGTTAATATAATATTATAGATTTGGTTGGTTGTTTATTTATGTTTTTAGTATACCAAATAAATAAGCTAAGTAAAAGGTGTACGTGGAGGTGGGATAGCCAGATCACATGTATATACTTGAAAAAGAAAAAGCCCACATGGCATTTGATATTTTATGAAACGATTTGTGTGAGCCATCATTTTGATTCGCCCAGATCAGGATTGATTCTATGGCCAATCATTTTTTGAGGCCAATAAATTATTTATAAATATATATTTATATTTATATATATATTGCCTAAAATCAATCTAACCAATATTCACATGTCTTGCCTGCCCACTTCAAGTTCTTCCTATGTAATTTCACAATTTGCTGCCTAATTTTCTGTTGGGTTCGGTGCAATTGGCATACGACAACTAGTTTGGATTTTTTTTTTTTGTCAAAAAAGTGTAAAAATAATAGATATTGACCCTTAAGACATAAGTGAAAATTTAAAATTTTAATATATGCAAGTTATAAATAATAAATATGATTATTACATAAAATAAATCGACACTCGGGTCATCTCTGTGAGTAGATTCTACATAATATCGTAATATTTCAGTCTCACGTAAAAAAAAATATATATAATTATTAAGTTTTATATAAAAATTTAAGTTATAAATTACTAATAATTTGGGTTAATATGTTTTAAATTTTAAAAATATACTATTTATGTTATGATTTATTAGTTATTATTTAGAATATTTTA